TTATTTGTTTATTTTTTCTAAAATTTTAGTTTGTATACATTTGTTTTTTTCTGTATCTGTGAAAATAAATTATTACAAACACTTAAAGTAGAAAAGTATAATACAGAATTGAAGAAACAATAGGTTAAAATAAAATAAAGTCTAATCATCATCACTTTCATTGGATGAGTCACTCGTGGAATAGTCATGAGCATCAGTGGCATAACTATGAAAGCTGGAAATAATTGGCGTATTTACTGATTCCTTAACACTATCTGGCGACAATAAATCTAAGACTTCCGAGTTTAGGCTTCTAAGTCTTTTCTTTGGTATCTCTCTGAAGCTGTTTATTAAGGGATCCGATGTTATTAGCAACATATGCATAATATCTCTATTCGTGGCTTCACGCGACTGCTTTTGTGTGTTATGTTCCCTGAATCGTCTCAAATCTTTGTTACGAGCTTCCTGGGCTTCCTCATAAAGCTGGCCAATAGGCAAAATTGCTGATTTTATAATATCAGTACTGTGCAACAAGATTTTATGAACTGTAGCAGGCATACAGAACCACGGATAGAGATCTGTGTATAGTTTTTTAGTCTCACGCGCAAATATTTCAAACTTATCAATATTAATATTGTACCCAGATGATAATGCTCGAAGGAGAGTATCAAATTTTTTTATGAGCGTTACATCCAATTCCGTAATCTCAGCACTAACTTCAGAATTTTCGAAAAACCTACGAGCAGTATTGCCATCATTAGTATTACCGAATCCTGGTTTTGGTTTATCTACTATTAATCCAAGTGTACTTTTAAATTTATTCTGAATTTCGTGTGAACGTTGCTTTACACTAGCTTTATCTGACTCGTTCCGAAGTTGCAATTTTTTTACTTCGAGCCGATAACTAATGTGAAGCAAGCATTCAAAACATCTTATCCATGCATGCAGAGTAGACAAACCAAAACCAAGACGATCGCGGCTAGGCATAAAAACCCGTGTCTCATCATTCATATCTTTTGGAGTGGCACCACAAATATAACACTTTTGGGCGGAGGAAGTTTCAGTCAAAGCATTACAAACTTTTCCGTCAATCATTGTTAGGAGCAGTTTGTGGTTCACAGAAACCTCGTATTCTTGCACCAAGCACTTTGTTGGCAACAAAGCATTTATCTCCTCTAATACTTTGTTCGTCTCAGAAACGATAAAATCTTTTGTTTCTTTGGAAAAAATAAATTTAATTGGACGACAATACATCGTAGAAGAAGGTCGAGGATTCTGCCAAACAATGTTACCTTTTTCGTCCCGTAATTGGACGGATACGAAAGAAAATATAAACAAAAACTCATCAGTGTCATCACTGTATGTGAATTTTTGTTTATATGTGCTATGACCAGAACTTCCATCGCAACCCCACTTGCTGATTAGAGTAAATGACAAGCATGTAGGTAACAAACTACTAAGAACTTCTTGATTTGCTAAAATTAATCGTTCAACACTTTTATCTAAAATAGCTTGAACTTTAATTTCGGCACGTGTTTCATCCACATCAATTTTGTTTGGATAACACTCTGATTTAGCCTTTCTTACACTGTAAAACGACGGAAATACCTTATGACCTGCTTGGATACTCCACTTCCGAGTCATTTTGTACGCATGAGTAGTCGTCTTGCTATCTACATAGTATGCTAAAGCTTCTACACTGCTCAAACATCTAGCACTTTGCTCACATATTGTTTTCGCCGTGGATACTTTAGTGTTAACTTTCGCATTTTTTATAATATTTGCAATATTGCTGTTGCCGGACATACGTGTTGATACTTCTGCCGCATAAATTAACTCATCTGCACTTCTGGACTGCAGTAAGTCATCCACTCGACGCCGTTTAGTTTTTTGACTGGAATGAATGAAGTCCTTCTTTAGTCTCCCAGGGCCTGGGTTACCTAAAGATGTAGCTGGTAGTTCTGATGGCAAGTTTAAATGTACAGAAACTGTAAAAGTCATATCTGTACCCGAAAACCACTCCGAGTTTTTATTTATAAACCGTCCCCGATGTCTTCCAGAGCTCTTCCATTTCTCGGAAAGCCTTGACGAATATGCCGCAACTTTTATGGTTAAATCTCTTAAAGAATGCTCCGTTACTTCACTTAAATCATATTTTGATAGAACAAAATTTAATAACTCTTTATTTCTTGATTGTTTCGAATATTTCAACCAAACTTCGAAAAACTCAATTCTTTTTATGGTTATAACTAAATCTGAAAAAAATAAAATAAAATAGATGTGCACTGAATTCGCAATGGTTTTTTGTTTCGAGTGTTAACAGATACTCATGACTATAATATATATAGGATTTCAAGGGGTTACATGAGGAGACATATAACTTTTCCACCTCTGAAGTTGAAAATGTATATAAAAAATCGTTTTTTTCTTAATCATGGAATGTTAGACATACTAAAAATAATCAAATTGACAAAAGATTATAATCAAAAACTTCAGCTTACCTTTGAGTTCAGATTCCATCACAAAAATTAAGCAGAAGTGGTGACTTAAAGTTATATGAAGCGTAATATTCAAAACAAATTTTTCAAATAAATCAGTTCTGACTTCGACTGCTCTTGCTTACTTACTTCAATTACTCAACATATTAGAAGTGAAAATAACAAACAAGTGTAAATACCCCGTTATATTGGTCTTATGATTAATTACTCAATACAAAATTCTAGGAATAAAACTTTTGTTTTTGTCCACCTAGCTTGTTCTACACGAAACACTGTGCGACGTCGTAAACTAAAGCTCGATCTAAAAAAAAAAGACACCACAACAAAATAGGCAACGATTCAAGCAAAATCAATTAAAAATTAAAGTGCTGGTATGGCATAAAAACCGTTACAACAGGTTGTCAGATTTTACACACGCCTGGTTACACACGTCTGTATATTAATAGTCGCCTTCGATTCGCCACTTCTCTGCTCTGCTATGTTCCAGTTCCGCTCGCTTTACCAAGGATTTTTTATGTGAAGGCAACAATAACGTTAGCTAGTAGCGATGAACGATGGCGAGTTAGTTTGGATACCTACTAACTCATTGATTTCGATCGTTTCGCTACTCGCTAACTACTCCATGTCGGCTAATGTTTACATATAAGTAAAAAAAAATAGAGGCCGGTTCCTCTCATACGATTCTAAAGGTTAATTATTACGTTTAATGTAAAATGTAGATGATCTTTTGCAAAAAACCGTAATTTTAGCTCACCATCTATGCAATTCGTTAAGATTTATGTTGAAAAAAAAAAATCCTGAAATCAAAACCAAAAAAAGTTGTACGATCGACGCTTTCCCTGTAATAAACGACGGTGGATACATCGCTCGTGAAAGTATTTATACATACGTATATACATACAATTTCAAAAAGGGTTTTCGCATTTTTATTCGATGCTTTCTTAATTACACCTAGAAGTGGTGTAGATGGTTCAAAGCCAGCTTGCCGTTAATTTGCTTCGCGGGTCGACTATTCATATCGTCTTCAATATATTTTCAATAAAAAATATTTGTCAAAAAACCCATGCAAATACATATCTATATCCTGGTCGATGGGTTCAGGATTATGGCAGCCCTAGAAGCTCAGTTAAAGATATGCAATTTCAATATAATTTTTTTTAGCTAAATAAAAATAAATTGGCAATAACTATGTAAGTCATTAAAGGACCCACGAAAATACACACATATTTACATACAAATGGGCTAAATTAATACTTCCACGTGTAAACTAGCACCTACAGGCTGCTCGAGAAACATTCTTTTGATGACGATATTTTTGTTTAATTCTCCTGGCTGCAATTTCACTGCATTTATGAAGAGATTTATGTTCAAAAGCAGAAAAACCACAATCAGTGGCCACATCAAAAACAGACAAACGAACGAACATTGCATTGGTGAAACAGGCAAACCGCAGACAAAGCTGCAACTACAAACAAACAACCAGTCCGGTGTCCACATCCGCAGTAAAGATAGCGAAAACAGCGATTGGTGCAAAAGGTAAAAGGCCAAACAAACCTTTAAATGACCAAACATATCGGCTCCCAACTGCCCATTGCCGCTTTTGGTTCTCAATACATGGCAACGAATAGCAAAAAAGCCTTATGAAAATCAGGCATTAATTCACATCGTCCCAGAATGGCAAAAGCAAATTTACCGCGCAAATAGTACGATGTTGCATTACAATTAAAGCTGTTTCAGGCGTCGTCGGCACACACAACCTTACGCAGGATGTATGTATGTATGTATGTATGTATGCATGTACATACATGTGTATGACTGCCGCCAAATTTGACGAAAAAGGAAGCACAAGTGACATTGTGGTTGACAGTAAAAACTACTTAATAACGCGAGAACGAAAAATATTTTAAATAGGTTCAAATGTTAATTTCCCCGCTTTCACTGTGCATGCGCCTGATATTGATGCGGGTTGGGTCTCACCCCGAGCAAATGACATCCTTAAATTCGGACGATATTGCTAAGCATCTGCACGTAATATGAAATTATGCAATTTATTAAAAAGAACACCACAACAGCTCAATGGAGGTTAAATTCACCAACTGAATTCGAAATTTTACCTCTCCTGTACACTTTTAAATCAAATTACACTTTTATGTAACTAATAAATAGTAAGGATAGTAATAAAAATAAACAAAACAAGACGCTGATTTACTAAAAGACTGCCATAACACAAAGACGGGGTTTGAACAAGTTATGCAGAATTACTTCTTATATCGATGATTCATATACATACTGTAACAATTTAGTGATAGAACTCTTGACTATTTTCCGCGTATGAAGCAAATATGCATTTCCATTTTTGCACGATAGTGTCAATCGAAAACGTTAAATGACTCTCCTGAAAAGAAGCGTCTTTGAGATGTGACAGTATTTTAGTAAATAAGCGAAAATTGAATAATCGGCTCGACTGAGTTTGTATTTAAAATTTTTATCTGGCAAGCCTTTACGACTGCAGTTTGAGAAATTCTCACATCTACATGCATGGGTAAACAAATAGGATTGCACAATTTCGCTTTCCTAATGCAAGTTTAAAGGTTTTGAAAAAAAAACCGATTATTTATCTTTCTTCTTATAATTATTCATTGAGGGCTTTTATCTCCCCATTTTGCAACTTCAAAAGTTTGGAATCACGCAAACTCTTCGATAAATTCTTGCTTAGTCAAGCACTTTGCCTTATGCTTATTTACACATTTCAGCTTTTCGGAGTCAAACCGTTCCTCACTATCGCACCGTAGATGCGTGAGCTTAGTCTTATCCGACTTTTCGACACATAGATAGAACTTGTTACAATCTCTGGGATCTGGGTAAATGTCATCTTCGTCACATTTGTTGTCCTTAAGCTTCTTCAAGACTTTTTTAATTAGTTCCTTTTGCTCTTTGGAGTTGCTATCGTCGTTTTCCTCATCTTGGTTGCTATCGGACTTTTCCTTTACATCTTCAGAATCTTTACTCTCCTCTAAATCTTTTTTGCCCTTCTCCGATTTCTTTTCCGTCGAAGTCTGCTCATTTTTTTCCTTAGAATCCTTGCTGTCCTCTGATTCTATTTTGGTACTTATTGATTTGTTTTCGCCCGAACTCTCCTCTTTTTGTTCCTTAGGATCTTTGTTGTCCTTTGATTTTATTCCTCTACTATTGGACTTAGGCTTTTCTTCCATGGATTCGCCTGCTTTCGGCAAATTTTTGTCAGAGCCTAATTCAGTGGACTGGCTATCTCCTGACTCCTGGTTTGACGGGTGAGATTTGGCAGGCCACACAGGCCAACCAGGTCGAACAGGTTGCACTTGGCGGTTGGGCAAAAGCTGCCATCCATTATGTCTTTCGTTTCCTCCTTTTGGTAGATTGGCATGTCCTGGTAAATTAGCGAAAACACGTCGCCACCAACTTTCATCTTTTCTACCACTGGAGTTATCAGCATAATTATGAGCGGCAAAATGTGACCAAACGGAACGGTCAGCATGTTCAGGTAACCTCGGAAGCATTGGAATATTTTTTACATGTGAATGGACTGGTGCGTTCGAAGAAACTGGGGCATTGGGATTAAATGGAGCGCTGGGGCCGACTGAAGCATTGGGATTAAATGGCCTGTTGGCCTGCGCTTGTGAATTGGGATTGACTTGTGTGTCTGGAACAACTGGCCTACTCGAGCTTACAGCGGATGTAGGTGCTCCAACAATGCCATTCACTGGCGCATTAGAATCGATTGGTGGCTTAGGGTGAACAGTTCCATTTGGACCGACTGGCAGAGGCGACGCCGTTTCTACTGGTGCTTTGGGGCCAACTGGAGCACTCGGATTCACTGGTACACTAGGATTTACAGGCGACGCGGGGTTTACTGGTGCATTGGGGCCAACTGATCCATTCGGGTTTACTGAAGTACTAGGATCTACAGGCGACGCGGGGTCTACTGGTGTATTGGGGCCCACTGATCCATTCGGGCTCACGGAAGCATTCGGATCTACGGGTGACGTGGGATCCACTGGTGCATTGGGGCCAACTGATCCATTCGGGTTTGCGGGAGCACTCGGAACTACGGGCGACGCGGGGTCTACTGGTACGTTCGGGCTCACTGATCCATTCGGGTTCACTGGTACACTAGGATCTACAGGCGACGTGGGGTCTACTGGTGCATTGGGGGCCACTGATCCATTCGGGCTCACGGGAGCACTCGGATCTACAGGCGACGC